GCATGTGCCCTGACTGGGCATGGAACTGGCGACCTTTCGGTTTGAAGGCTGGCGCTCAATCCACTGAGTCACACCAGTCAGGGCAGTAACTTCCACCTTTTCCCTGACACACCAATACTATATTCCTACTGCCTTTGCTTAGTGTCAGCTTTGCCTCTTAGGTATAATTTAACACTTGGTGATCTTCCGTTGATCTTCCGTATGTTTTGGACCATAAGACGTGTCTAGGTTTTAGAGGAAAACAGGGAAAAAATTGGAAGCAAAAATATGGTAAAATATTTAATAACACAAATAACATAATATTTCACCAATGTAAATATAAACAGAACTCAACAGCAGTACTGACACATTATTCCTCCCAAATGGGGGGGGGGTGCATCTTATAGTCTAAGAATGGTAAATAACCTAAAATCAGTACTGTGTATTGATTTCTTCCAGCACTTGTCCTTACCTGACATGACATGGCATACAAAAAGCACTCTTACCATCAAAGTATGTAAACAAAAATACATGTCCTATAGAAATTAAGCAAGACAAGTTCGGGAAGAAAATTCTTTTGCCAAAACACCACCTCTCGCTCTACTCCACCCACTTGTCTCTACCTACCCCTGCTGCACGGTTCTGGACTGCTCACATCAACAGTCTAAACTGGCTCCCCTGAGACTCCCAAAACCCCTTCTGATGCTCCCTTCTCTCTTCTCACAACGGAAACTTTTCCAAATGCCTACCTGCCCCCACCTCACCTTCAGATAAAGCCCTAGTTTGGATCTCCGGGCCTTAAGCTACCTGGGCCTTGCGCTACCTGGACGGGGATTGGTTCTGCAGCCTCGTCTCACCCGCCCTTTCCCGGGGTGCTCTCTCTCCCAGGAGGACTCCAGTTCCCCGAGTGCCGAGGGCAGGCCTTGCCTTCTGCCATCCTGGCTGCCCCGTGCATCACGCTCCCCCATGCAACTGCATTTCCCCCCAGCCTCCTCTTTCTCTAACTTCTACTCGTCCGTTTGGTCCCCACCTACAGCTGACTTTTCAGTGTGGCACTACTCTCTCCTTCGTCCCAGGCTGGACTGAGCTCACCGGTCCCTCTCTCCGATAGGAAGTGATGCGTGGGTGAGGCTCGTGTTCCTGTCCCTTTGCCCCCCACAGGAACCCGTGAAGACCCAGCTTCCACCACGAAATACGGCCCACGGGATGACAGAGCAACAAGATGGAGGGAACATGGATCCCTGAATGGCCATACAGAGCAGAGCCGCCCGCCCACCAGGACCGCTCCCTTCAACCTGGCACATTCAAGCTAGTACATCGGAGAACTTTCTCCTCCAGCTGGAATGTTGCTCAGACAGCCTTATGCTGACAAACATCCTCAGGAAAGCCTTCCCCGGACCACTTCATACCCGGGGAGGTTTGCTGCTAAAGGCTCCCACGGCATCCCCACGGCCTGCTACACTTGTGCTCACTCATTTCATCTACTCGCTGGGCACGCATGTCTACCTGCCCGGCACTGTCCTCGCCTGCCTGAAAGAGACCAGTGCGGGTGGAACGGAACAAGGGAGAAAATGACAGAAACCAGGCCCAAAGGGGCAGACAGGAGCTCACGGCTGGAGGGCCACTCCGGGTTTCATTCTAAGTAGTACTTTTTGTAACTACTGATTTAAAAGTCGACTTCTAACCTGGAAGGGTCACAAAGGCAGATCTCAATGGCAGATGAGGTGCCCTTTTTTTTTTAATATATCACCAGCATCTATCACAATGCTTGGCACACGGTGTGTGTCGAATGTCTGCTAGAATGAATGACTCTCTAGAGAACACATTACTCCTCCATGTGTTTGTAAACATTAAGGGGATCTCAGAAGTCATTCACTAAATTAGAGAAACACTCACATGATGAAATAGAAAGAATAGTCTCTTGTCTACATAAAAAATTTCATACATATTAATTGATTTTCTGAGTCTAGTAATACAGAAGGAAAAATAAGCTTGAAACGCTACGGACACTATTTGAAGCAAAGCTCTCCACCCCCTTTCCTGTACCTACCGCTTCCTTCACAGGGAACCACGTGAAACAAGCCAGTTCCCCAACCAGGGCACAAAAATAGGCTGCGAAATAGGTGGTGTCAGCCGGCAAAGGCCTAACTCTGCAATTCTATAATTGCAGCCATAGAAACCAGTTCTGTAATATTTTGGTAAACTGGCTGAGGGGTGCTTTCCTTCCAGGCAGGATACTGTTTCCCAAATGTCACTACCTGTCTTGGATCTGGAAGGGTGAATCTCTAGTAACGGAACAAAAAAGAAAGCAGGTGCTTTTTGTGTTTGATAAAAAGATACTATCTTAGAATGTGCACAGGACAGTCTACTGGTCTGAAGAGAATAAGGAGAGTGTCAAATTAAAACACAGCTCCATCTGAAACAGACACTTCAAGAGGACCCTGTTTAGATGAGCCAGCAAAGGCCTAAGGAAAACAGGACCCAAACAAAGTAACAACCGTTTGGCAGGTGGAAGGGGGAAAGAGCTCTTTCAGATGAATGAGATAACTTCTGCCAGTATGCAAGGGATGTAGAAAAATGGAAAACTGTTCAGAGGACAGAGAAAAATCAGAATCAAAACTGGATTTGATTGGAGAAGATACTGGCTAACAAGTATAGGGGTTTTTACAGCTAAAACAAACCTTACAATACTCTTCCTGAAACTCCCTAATTCCAAAATGAGAAAAAGGAGACCCAAGAAAGCCAGACAAGTTTTACAGAGATAACGAGTAGAGATGCCGGCAAAGAATTCAGGCCTTCTGATTCTCTTTTGCAAAGCTCTCTGGGAAAGCACTGTACCAGGTGTCCTTAAGGAATCCAAGAGGAACACACCCCAGTTTTCCTGTCTCCCAAGAGCTTAGAATGTTACTTTGGTGATATGACACACAAGAAAGAGAGAAATATAAAAACAGGATGTAAATTTCTCCAAGTGCCAAATTACGCTCTACAAAAATACATAAGGCATTTATTTAGGGAGCTGGGAGAGTTGGAACCAATCAGAAAAGGAATCAAAAAGACTGTCAGTGATTGCTGAAGTGATACTGGAAGGAAAAATGATTTTGATGACCAGTATTCAAAGTGGCATGAAATGTAAGGGAAGAACCCGGGGAAGAATTAATAATTGTACTTTAAAAACACTGAAAAAAAATTAGTGGATGCTTTATACGGTTGTGAAACGAAAACGAAAGAGCAGAGCGGGAAGTTCATGTTTACAAATCACCTCCAATTACAAAAGGACCGGTTACAATACACAACTGACAACAAGCTGCACAAGTTCCAAGGGTCCGGAGTTTCCGAGGGTGGTTGGGCTCCCTGATTTCTACCGACCCAACCACTGAGCCGGGCTTATGAGAACAAAACCACAGAGCGAGGGAATTCTGTTTTCCTGAGGACTGGGTGGGAACTTTGAGGTTTCTTTTTTTTTCTTCTTCTTCTTCTAGAAGGGAGTTCTGGCTTGGTTTTAAATCCCAAGTTACCATCGCCTTGCCCTACAATCCATAAAACCAGTGTTTAAACTCAGGGTAAACTGTTGGCAAAAACATCACCAGCACAAGTCCTCCTTACCGCCCGGAGCCCCTGTGTTTACGAGATCTCATTCACCGCGGCGATCACCAGATGCTTTCCTGGCTTGGCTGCCTCCCGTTGCGACCACAAGCACTTTACCAAAACATCCTCCGAGCCAAGAACAGTACCGCACAGTGAGCGACAGCCTTCGCCGCGGCACCCCGAGCCGTGGGGCACAGCACCCCAACATAATTACATGTGAAGGTCCCAAATCACCAGCTGAACAACTATTAAATGACCTTCTAGGAGCTTTTTAAAAAATGTTTTACAGAAAGCTTTAGACCTATCTGTGGAAAAAAAGCTGGTAATGATTTGCATCCTCTGCAATCTTAAAAAAACACACACACAAACGGCAGACCAAGAATCAAAAATAGCTTTACACAAACAAGAGCAAAATTGTAGGTTTTGCTGAGGGCATCAGCCACTTAATTTAACCCCACTTCGCCAGGAGCAGGAAGCCACACTGCTGCTTGCACCCGGGTTACTAGGAGACAAGCGAGATAAAGGGCAGATCGGGCAGAAGAGTCTCCAGCTCAAAGGAACATTCTGATGCCATCACTGAAAACCCCCGGAGCAAGCTCGCCGAACGGGGCGGCGGTTCACGGGGAGGAGAGACGCGCCGGAGCTCGGGGCTGTGTTTCCCCTCCTGCAGCCCCTCCCGCCCTCCAGACAGGAGCGCGCGCGCCCGGCGCGAACACAGGCGGGGCTCCCGGTCGTGTGAGCGGCCTCGCCCCGACCTCCTCCGGGTCTCGGTTGCTAGGCGCTCCCGGCCTCCCTCCCGCAGACCTGGGGCCGGTGCCGGCCGCGCCCGGGAGTCCGGGCTGTTTCCTCCGCCCCCCGCCCCTTCCCTGGGGCGAAAGCTTTGGGAAAGTGACAACACACAGCGAAAGTTTCCCTCCGAGCCGGACCTTCGCAGCCGGCCGGCACAGAGGCGCCCTCGCCGGGCGGGCCCCACGCCGCGGCCCCGTCCTCACGAACGGCGAACCCAACGGTGAAAGCCCATCGGCGGGGCGCAGGGAAGCTTCCACGCCCCCCTCCCCCGCCCGCCCGCCCGCCGAGCCCACCCCGCTCCCCGGACGCACTCGGCGCCGGAGCGAGACAGGAGCGCTGGCCCCGCAGGAGCCGGAGCCAGCACCGCCGGGGGGACGCTGGCGCCCTGTCATCCGAGGACAACAACCGGCCGGGCGGCGGCGCAGGCAGGCGGAGTTGCCGAGGGCGAGCACGGGGCTCGCCGGCTCTCCCGGGACACGGCCCCCTCCGCGGCCGAGAGCGCAGGTCCCGGTGGGGGGGTCCTGGAGATGCGCCCCCCCACCTGACCCCGCAGGCCGGCGTCCGGAGCCCCGGCCCGCCCGGCCCCCTCAGGGCGCAGACCGGAGACCGCTCCCCGCCCAGCACCCTTCCCGCCCGCGGCCACTCACCGCCGGTGTGTCTGGTTCTCAGCCGCGAGCTGGGGCCGCCGCGAGGAGGCGGCGGAGGAGACGCGATCCGGGGCCCCGCCGCCGGGTCATCATACCCCGCGCGAGCCGGCCCGGCCCCCGCCCCCCGGAGCCGCCCCGCGCCTGTCCCGCGGGAGGAGCCCCTCTGCCCTGGGCTGGCTCTGCCGCCCGGCCCTGGCCGCCGCCGCCTCAGCCCCTTGGGCTCCCGCCTCGGCCTCCCGCAGCCGTCCCGGGCCGCCGGGCCCCTCGCTCCGCAGCCTCCGTTGTCGCCAGACCCGACGAGACGAGCGCCGAGCGGCCGCCCCATCCTGCCGGCCCCGCCCCACAGGCGCGCTCCGCCCGCCCCGCGCCATGACACCTACTGGGGCGGAAGTGGCGGCAGTCGGCCTCCCGGCGCAGAAGCGCCTGGGAGCCGGGGGTGGGGGCTGGCTTCCCGCCCCCTCCGCCCCCTCCCCGCCGGCCAGCGGCGATCGCTGGGCACTTGGTGGTCGCGGGGAGGGCTCGGGCCGTGAGACGTCAGCCTGGCCAGTGTGACATCACGGCGAGCCGGTGTGCGCCTCCCGGAGCTGAGCGGTGCGCGGAGGCCGTGCCCACCGGGAAGCCCCTCCGCCTCCGAGGACGCCCGCGACGCAGGCCTGGAAGCCCGGCCGGCCCTGCGCTCTGACAGCGCGACCTGCAACCTGCGCGCGGGGGCGCCGGTGAGAAGGAGCAGCGGTGCCCTGAACCCACCCCTCAAAACACACGTTGCGCGACGGCGACCCCAGTTTCCCTGCCTCCACGGGAGATCAGAAGGCTGGGTATCCAGGAAACAGAGTGTGGCGGGCACCCAATATTGGGGTGAGGGGAGATGGACCCTGAGTGAAAAGTAGGGTCCCCTAGCATGAGGACAGATGCCATCTCCCAGAGTCAAGAGCTTCCGTGGAGCTTCACATGGACCTCCCGCTGTATAAAATGTTCTGATTCCTAAAGTGGGGAACATTTTTAGGAAGTAGAATAATCTGGGTTTTCCATTCCACAAGTGCTGCAGGCTGCGATGATCTGAGCCTTAGGAGGTAGCTGTCCAGCCCCGCCCCCCCCCCCCCCCCCCCCCGCACCTGCACATATACGAAGAGGGGAGAGATATGGCTATAAGATTTTGCTGTCAAGCTCTCTTCCTCAGAGTTCAGACATCCTTGAGCTCTTGGGATCCCCATCTACCCCCACCCCCACATGCACACACAAAGATAATTTTTGTGAGGATGTGCTAAAGTGCTTAATACTGCCTTTGGGATTCTCTCCTGACTTAACACCACTGGGAGCAGTTCTATTTTATTAGGAACAGGAAAGTTATTTCCCTAGAGAACTAGGGTTAGCAAAACAGGACAGTTCTGTTTGCTTATTCTTCCAGAAACCGAGAGAACATACAGTCCTACATTGGGCCGACCTAGGAAACATCAAAACATAGAGCGCGGGTGAGCATGCCTGTGTGGTGAGCCAGGACAAAGGCAGGACTTGAGTTCTGGGGCAGAAGAGATCCTGCTCAGAAGGCTACACACACGGTGCTCCCCATGCCCCAGTTCAGCCCAGCTCCGTGTCGTGTTTCTCAGCTCCTGCTTGCCCAAGTTATGTCCCTCTCCTCTTTTCAAACACATCTCAAAATTCACTCCTAGGGATCTTTTTGGATTGATTGACAGCCCCCCCCCCCAACACGCGCACACACTCACACTTTTTACGAATTATTCAGTTCTACTTTACCATCTGACTACTTAATTATGTATGTATCCTTATTGATCTCTGTTTTCACTATTCTTAGGTCATTTCTTCAGTCTGTCTCACTACATGGAAACCTTCTTTATGTCTAATATTTTGCCCTCTAGTACCTTCCATTCACCTATCCAACAAACTGCCAATAGGCCTGCTCTGCACCAGACACTCTTCGAAACACTGGATCAGACGCAAGATGAGTAAGGTGTGCTCTTTCCCTGAAAGGGCTTACAGTCTAATGGGGGCGGGGGGGTGGAGATGCATGGAGACATATATAACACTTGAATGATAGAGCCAGGGAACACTTTCAGAGAAAGTGATTATTTGAGCATGGTACAGCCAAAGAAATTTCGGAGTTCAATGTAGCTGAAGTTCAAGTGTCCATTCAGCAAATATCTATTGAGGATCTTCTTTGTGCAAGGCAGTATGTTAGTAAAGATACAAAGAAGAAAAGGCATGCTCCATACCGAGAAGGAGCTTACAGTTCAGCAGAGGAGTGGCAGAATCGGGAATTACTGATAGCAAGGCAGGCTGAATCAGATTGTGAAAGGCAACAAAAAGCTATTAGAGGTTCAGTAAGACAGGTACTGTGAAGGAACCTGTGCATTAAAGAGGAGACTGGCGGTGAGGAGGATGGCTGGCTGGAGTGGCTGAAGACTAGAGGGCATAGCCCTGGACAGGTGGCTCAGTGGGTTGGAGCATCATCCTGTGCACCAGAAGGACTGTGGGTTCCATTACTGGTCAGGGCACATCCCTTGGTTTCGGGTTATGTCCCTGGTGGAGGCCCCTGCCTGAGGCAACTGACTCAATGTTTCTCTTCCACAGAGATGTTTCTCTCTCCCTTGTTCCCTTACTCTCTCTCTAAAAAAAAAAAAAAAAAAAATCAATGAATCTATCCTAGGGTGAGGATTGGGGAAAAGAGAAAAGAAATAAAACTATGATGAGGGTTTGGTCAAGCAGGGAACACGGAGAGCAGGGGGCAGACATGTGAACCACTCCTCCCAGAAGTCAGGGTAGCTCGAGAGGGAGACGACTGACAGCTGGAAGCACTGAAGTCTCCTCTAGGGCCTAGGTTCAAGGTCACAGGCAAGAAGCCTCTTGCTCAGGAGCTGCAGTGCCTAAGACCAAGTGGAAGAATCTGGTCCAAGGCTGTGTCTTGAGAGAAACTGATGCAGAAAGCTGGGAAAATTATCCAAACAGGTCACGAATCCAAGGGGCCAGAGAGACAACGAGAATTCAGGTAGAAGCCAGCAGCTGTCCTACCGGGAAAGCCAGACAAGAGCGGTGGTCTGAAGTCGAGGAGAGGGGGCAGAATGTGGAGAAACCCTTGGAGCCAACAGAGGAGAAAGGAAGGCACGCGCCAGTGTCATCCTGTGACCATCGATGTGACAGCAAACAGAGATGAAGACAACGCACGGTGGAGCTTCTGAATGAACCTGGAATCGCCCACTTCTGGACTTCTTCTTAAGTGAATGCATGTTCGTGTGTTTTAAGGGCACTGTTAGACAAGTTCTCTATTATTTGCAACCCAAATCAGTCTTAACCGATACAGCAGAGATTTTCTAGAAGATGGAGATGGTACAGGGCGTCCACATGTTCTAAAAGAGAAAGGAGAATGGGGACCGAAGACTGGCCAGTGGGTTTGGCAGTTAGAAAGTCACTGTTGATCTCAGTAACAGCAGTTTTAGAAACATAGTGGGAACAGAAGTGCTGTGGCTTCTATGTGGGATTTTTTCATAGTGTGAGTGGTGACTCACAAACCAGGAAGGACAGTTTGGCCCAACTGCGTGGCAGACGCTATTCTGGTCAATTCCCGTGTTCTGCTCTCAGTACCCCCGGAAGGTGCCTGGGCCTGCGCCGTCCGGGAGATTAGAACTGGTTCGCTGTGACGGCTCCGTTTCGGTTCTCAGGAAGTAGCCAGTAAAAGTTCTGTTCCCTTAACTGGTTCCATGGAGGGTGAGCCCAGCATGCACATGATGGAGGTTAGAATAGAACCCTTTTCTTCTTCCAGGATTTCTTGATTGTGTATAATAAGTACCAGGCACTGAGTTAGAATTTAAAAAAAAATGAATAAAGCATATTCCTTGCCCTCCAGGGTCTCACAATATAGTTAAGGTGACCAGCTAGGAACAGTTACCACAAGTCTGTGATACTGGTCTTCAAAGCGATATTAAAAATGCTGAGGACTATAGCAGTTAACTGTGTCTGGAGCTCACAGCAGAAGCTTCTAGAAGTCTTGCTGTTGGCTGAGCAGGGACTCAAAAAAGATGGCACTACTGCTGGGCCAACAGTGAGGTGTTACTTGTTTTTAGTAACGATCTTAAGTGCATTTCTAATGCAAATTGTGAACAGACAAGTAAATATGCAATTATATTATATACACAGGCGTGACAAGTGCGGTCCTGGAAAGAAGAGGTGGTCCGTCTGCCGCCCTAGGCTGCTACAGAGCCGAGGGGTTAGAAACCAAAACCAGGGCAGAGGTGAGCGTGGTACGTACCAAGCTGAGACGTGAAGCACCCGCCTGCATTAGGGACCCGCCCAGGAAAATCAGGGGAGTGAGTCCCCTCCATTTCTTCACAAAGGCCCCTTCCCTACATGGGAGAAGGCCTCGCCTCCTCACCACCCCCACGCTCCCCGCTTCCCCAGCATCGCCCACTGAAGCTGGGCTGGTTGCTGGGCTGGTTGCTCGGCTGAGCAGTGTGATGGCAGGCAGGGATGTGCCCCGTCTGCTCTCAAGTCTAAGCCCTGCTAGTCTTTGTTTTCCTTTTGCATCCGAAGAGGACATTCTGGGGACTGGGTCCCAGCAGAAAGGATGGCTTTGGTGGAATAGGAGGTCGGGTAAAAGCAAAAGCTCAAGTACCAGTAATGAAAAGAAAGGGAAGGCGGAACTAGAGAGGCGTGGTGGTTGCCGACATGTGAAGCCACTAAACGCCACCAAGTTGTACACTTTACAGCAGTCAATTGTACATTACGTGAATTTCACCCCCAGTTTAAAAAAAAAGATGGGAGATTTGTAGGAATAAAAGATAACGGGCAAGAGATTTTACCCCTAATTTCTCCTAATTTTCAAGGGTCAACCCAGAGATCGTTCTGGGGGAAGAGCACGTGCCTAGATGCTCACACACCATGTTTACTCCTCCTCAGACCCCCTCCCGTGTGTCTAATTCCTTCCCCGTCTAGACATCACCTAGATATAACCGTCTTACTCCCCAGTTCTTCACACACCAGCCCTTCATTGAATAAAACTCAGTGATGAGGCCCTTCTCTCCCTTCCCCTGGGTCGTCATTGTTTCCCATGCCTCTGCCATTCTGTAACTTCTCACCTTTTTGACCAACTGTTATACAAGCTTTTGGCACCTGCATTTCATGTGTCTTAACCTCTCATGAATTCTAAGCAAAACCAAAGCCCAAATAAATGCTCTGGGAGGGCATACAGAGACCCACAGGGTAGAGGGCAATGAATCAGGACAGGAATTTGAAATTTCATAATTGAGTATTATTCGTGCTAAGTCACTTTGCACTTTAGAAATC